AGTACGGTTATCCAGCCAGTTATGCACCCACCTTATAGTAGCCCCATCTAAATTGTATTTGCCTAGTTTATCGATAAGAATATCATGCGAGACCGTATCAAATGCCTTACTAAAGTCTAGGTATACCACACCACAGCTTCTCCCTTATCCACAAGGCTCGTTATCCTATCAAAGAAAGCTATCGGATTGGTTTGACATGATTTGTTCTTCAAGGATGCAAAAGCACAACACAGCTTAGTAACGTAACTGGGTAAATACACCCTGCCCTGCAAACACAGAGCTGAGCTGAATTAGAGTAAGAATAAATGTATGAACAGACATAAGTTAAGTGCTGCTAAGTGAAAGGAGGGAAGTGACAAAGAGTTACAAGAAATAACAGTGAAAACACGCAAATTTACAAATTGGACTCCATCAAATGAGGCCTGAATAAAGACAGGGAGTGGATGGGTCATTACAAAAACTAATTTCCCCATACTGTTACTCACACCCTCTTGTCAACTGTTTGTAATGGGCTGTCGTCAGACGTCACCGGTGTGGTGCTCTGCTCTTTTCAATGATGATAACAGTTGGCTGCGTGCGTGTGTGTTCTCCCTGTGTGCTGCCCTGGCTCTGCACAGATCGCTGGCACAGCAGATCTTGAGCGAACCGCCCAATGACCACAGACTCTGATAAGGTACGAAGGCACCCGGCCAGGTTTATTGCCAAACAAAACACTCTCTAGCTCCCCGGATCAGATGTCTACAGTTCTGCTTGTACAGATGTGCTCCCTGACAACGGACCGGCTCAGCCAGTGGCAGTGCCACTGCCCCCTAGGCCAGACAAAGACGTCCGCTCAGGGATGAATTCTTATAGAGATACAAACAGGTTATGCATCATTGAACGCACTGAGATACAGCCCCTCTACACATTAGGGTGCTGCCTTTCTGCTGGTACAGGTTGGTTCGAACAAACAAGTCTATCCATCATATTGTCCTTCTGACCCTGTCTTTAGGCTGGGTCTGCCTGTTCCTCGTTATCTCTGTGGGATGTGTTCGTACCAGGTTGTTCTGGTGCCGTCCTGGCACACGTGCTTTTAGCAGCCTTCCTCCTGCCAATGTCTGTGAGCCGGGCCTGCCTCTAGCTCAGAGCCTAACTTTGCTTTATGTTAGCAACGTCTTGACCATTACTTCAGTTCAGGCCTCAGGCCTCATACCAGGCCTCTGATACCAAGGGTTTGTGTCTCAGGGCCTCCTCTTACTACATGGGCCACCCTCATTACCACTACAAAAGTGATTTTTCCTCCCTTGGAATTCTACTGTTGAGAATAGCCCACTTTAATTGAATTGTCTCGTTAGCACTGACCCCCCCGCTGCCCCCACTTGGTAAGGCAACTCCCATCTTCTCATGTACTGTGTACATATACCTGCTACTGTATTTTCCACTCTATGCATCCGATGAAGTGGGCTGTAGCCCACGAAAGCTTAGGCCCAAATAAATGTGTTAGTCTCTAAGGTGCCACAAGGACTCCTCATTGTTTTTGCTGATACAGACTAACACGGCTGCTCCTCTGAAAAGAGGTTAAATGTAGTAACTGCGGCAGTAATCCCAGTCCAGCGTATAGAGGGTGTATTGCAGCAAGGCAAACTAAAAAGATACAAAAGACAAAACTTGTTAATAACATATGCTCTGTGGAAGCTGTAAAGAGTCTCTCAAAGTACCGGAGAGAGGGAAGAGACAGCACAGGGAAAGGGGGACCGCATACACCGCCTCATTCTATAAAGAACATGATAAACTGCGGCAGGAATAGGCGGTGATATACTAGTAATGATAAAAGAGAGGTTTATTGTGTTTGTGATAAATTGTATATCACAAACTGGGGAAAAATCAGAAAAAATGAAAATTACAGCTAAGGCAGTGGAAAAATCCTTGTATATTAGTCACTTGTCAATGCAATTTTGAATGAAGTTAATGGTGAAATCTGACCAGTATGAGGATCTGTCTTGTCTTTTGTTGGAATGATAGCACAGGCTGATAGCACACAGTCAAGAACTAAAAGAAAATATCCTGGGAATGAAATCTAAACCAGATGTCATGTGTATCCAGGAAACAGGGCTGGTTGAAAATTTTTCTTTTAAAATTCCAGGGTATACTGCCTGTAGGCAAGACTAAAAACTAGGAAGAGGAGGTGGCATTTGTACTTTCATAAGGGAAAGATTAAACTACATAGCAGTAGAGAATGAAGAATAAGCCTAGACTATAATGCTGTTGAGATGCCAATGCAGAAAAGTAATTTTTCTTTAAGGATTTATAGTAACTATAATCCATGTGGGAAATTAGAAAGTTTGATGCAACAAGAAATAGGGAAGATGCTAAAAGACCATATATTGTATGTGGTGATCTAAATAATCATAATAACTTGTGGGGAAGTAAGACAACTGATAAAATGGTACCAAGTATCAGGGGGTAGCTGTGTTAGTCTGTAGCCACAAAAACAACGAAGAGTCCGGTGACACCTTAAAGACTAACAGATTTATTTGGGCATAAGCTTTCGTGGGTAAAAAACCCCACTTCTTCAGATGCATGGAGTGAAAGTTACAGATACAGGCATCAATATATATTGACACATGACGAGAAGGGAGTTACCTTACAAGTGGAGAGCCAGTGCTGACAAGGCCAATTCAGTCAGGGTGGATGTGGTCCACCCCCAATAATTGATGAGGAGATGTCAATACCAAGAGAGGGAAAATTGCTTTTGTAGTGAGCCAGCCTCTCCCAGTCCCTATTGTTAAGTTTGCAAATGAACTGTAGCTTAGCAGTTTCTCTTTGAAGTCTGTTTTTGAAGTTTTTTTGTTGAAGAATGGCTACTTCTAAATCTGTTATTGAGTGTCCAGGGAGATTGGAGTGTTCTCCTACTGGCTTTTGTATGTTACCATTCCTGATGTCTGATTTGTGTCCATTTATCCTTTTACATAGAGACTGTCTGGTTTGGTCAATGTACTTGGCAGAGGGGCATTGCTGGCACATGATGGCATATATAACATTAGTAGATGTGCAAGTGAATGAGCCTCTGATGGTGTGGCTGGGTCCTATGATGGTGTTGCTAAAGTAGATATGGGGACAGAGAAGGCAACGGGGTTTGTTACAGGGATTGGTTCCTGTGTTAGTGTTTCTGTGGTGTGGTGTGTCGTTGCTGGTGAGTATTTGCTTCAGGTTGGGGGGCTGTCTGTAAGAGAGGACTGGCCTGCCTCCCAAGGTCTGTGAGAGTGAGGGATCATTTTCCAGGATAGGTTGTAGATCGTTGACGATGTGCTGGAAAGGTTTTAGCTGGGGGCGGTATGTGATGGCCAGTGGTGTTCTGTTATTTTCCTTGTTGGGCCTGTCCTGTAGTAGGTGACTGCTGGGTACCCGTCTCGCTCTGTCAGTTTGTTTCCTCACTTCCCCAGGTGGATATTGCAGTTTTAAGAATGCTTGATAGAGATCCTGTAGGTGTCTGTCCCTGTCTGAGGTATTGGAGCAAATGCAGTTGTATCTTGGATCTTGGCTGTAGACAATGGATCGTGTGATGTGTCCTGGACGAAAGCTGGAGGCATGTAGGTAAATATAGCAGTCAGTAGGTTTCCGATATAGGGTGGTGTTTATGTGACTATCGCTTATTTGCACTGTAGTGTCTAGGAAGTGGATCTCTTGTGTGGACTGGTCCAGGCTGAGGTTGATGGTGGGGTGGAAATTATTGAAATCATGGTGAAATTCCTCAAGGGCCTCCTTCCCATGAGTCCAGATGATGAAGATGTCATCAATGTAGCGCAAGTAGAGTAGGGGCGTTAGGGGACAAGAGCTGAGGAAGCGTTGTTCTAGGTCAGCCATAAAAATGTTGGCATACTGTGGGGCCATGCGGGTACCCATAGCAGTGCCGCTGACTTCCAGTCAGTGACCTGATAAAATGCTGCATGCTTAGAAAAGTTGATTGATTAAAACAGTCTAGTGGTTTTAAACCCCAGCTAGATTTAATGCAGCAGATAGTAGTTTTTCCTACTTAGCCCTGGGAATTATAACAGCAGATATTGCACATAAATGAAAATGGGAAAATATATAAGAAAGAAGAAATGGGGAGTGATTGTCTCCCTGTAATTACTGCTTTTCAAGGGCAAGGTAAGGATGAAGGTAATAGAAAATTACCCACCTGGCATTTTAAAAAAGCTAACTGGTAGCTACTTAGAAGTAAACTATTACATTTGTGACTAATTATTGTGTGAGTGATGAGGCAGAGAATTTCAGTGACAAGGTAACAAAGGGAGTAATAGCAGCTACAGTAGCCATACCTAGGATATTGAAGTACCCAAAACTAAAAACTCACTTCCCTGGTGGAATGAGGAATGCAAAATGACAGTAAAAGAAAGGAACAAAGCCTATACAAACGCAAAAATACAGTTTATAGTGAAGACCTAATGAAGTATAAAAGAAGTAAAGCAATAGCACAAAGAATTATAAAATAAATCAAAGAAAGAGAGTTGGAGGAAGTACTGTGGGTGGATAAACAAAGGTACCGAGACATCAGAACATACAGGCAAATTAGAAGAATGAATGGAATTCAGAGTGAGTAGCCACATCTCTGGGCTGATTGGGACTGAAAACATAGTTCGAAGGTCTGATCACGAGAGAGCAGACAGACGTGTTAGCAGAAACTTCCCAAGGGGTGAGTAATGATGAAAACCAAAGTGAAGTTTTCCACCTGATTAAAAGACAATTCATCCAAGAGACTCGTGATCTGTTATGTAGGTGGGGTAAACATGAAGATACTCTACTGAATTAATGGTTTTGTGTGCGAGAACTTGAGAAAGCTATTGATATCAGCAAGAATACATCGCCAGGGAAAGCTAACATATGTAACATGTTGTTTAAACATCTCTCTGCCAGCAGTGTGAGGGTTCTCCGGGAATTATTTAACACCATATGGGAAAAGGAGTGACACTGGTAGGTGGAAACATGAGGTAGGTAGTAACTCCAATACGAAAACCAGGCAAACTTTTAGACCAAGAGCCCTTGCGCCCTGTCTGGGTGACAGGCTGGAGAGAACAGTGAAGTGTCTGGAAAACCATAGTGGTATGGACAAGGTGCAAAGTGGTTTTAGGAGAGGCAGCTGCATCACTGATCACAGTGTTAAATTAGAAACTGAAATATGAAAAAGTCTGAGGCTTGAGGGTTTCATGAGAGCTGTTATTCTAGCTGTTGAAAAGGCGTACGATACGCTATGGAGGGAAGGCTTATTGGACAAAATGGATGCACTAGGGAGAGAGGGAAGAATGTCTGAGTGGATAAGAGAATTTCTGCATAGAAGGGCCTGCTTTGAGCAGGGGGTGGGACTACATGACCTCCTGAGGCCCCTTCCAACCCTGATCTTCTATGATTCTATGAAGTACAG